ACTAAGTGTTAAATAAACGCGAATACATTTTTGGGATAAGTGTGCAATAATACGAGAAATGTGTTTTAAACGTATTTCATTGTATAAAAACGAACACAGATTTTATATTGTTAACATGATTATTATTTGTATATACATTAATTTGTAGCCATGAATTAATTCTAGATATCAAAATGTGGAATTGATGGTTGAAAATATTTTGTAATCGGTTCTACTGGCTTGTTGAAAAATTAATTACACTGAATCTCCTAGCTAGTAACGTCTTCAAATTATATTTTCTCAAACGTGTTTTAAAGACGTTTCTGCGTATAATGCCATTTATTTATTAAAAAAGCGGGGTTTAAATTATATTTTTAGTCTTTGAGGAATTATAAATTGGCTATAAATATGTTTAAAACTTGTGTCTTTGGCTTTTTATTTGACAATGACTGCTAAGAAATTATACTGTGTCTACTGTATCTTCAGTCGTATATCAAAACCAGGGTGAGAACGCAATTCTCAATAACCCTCTTCATCTGCCAGCTTATCTATGTATAGAATGCTCAATCGCAGCCATGACACGAAAATAAAAGAAATTATGTTTTCTTTTTTATTCGCAGGCTAGAAGTCACCATGTATTCTTGCACATATTTCATAATCCTCGTGCTCTGCTATACTTGTCTGTTTTATCTTACTACCATGTCAGCTCCTATTGAAAATACAACTGCAGCTGAAACAAGTAAGTATCTTCGTCATTGTCTTAGCATCGGGTATAGGGATACAAGCAAACAATGCGACTCAGACCGGATAACTTTCGTTTAGATAGCTACTTAATTGAATACTAGAGATAAGAATGGTGAAATTGTTCACATTGCGATGAGTTATATAAGGTTTTATCAAAGCACTACCGGCCGAGAACCGTGTAGGGTCGTGACTTCACATCTTGAGCCAAACCATTAACACCTTTTGTATCCCAGTAATTAACGGCGAATGGATATTACATTTTGATGACGTAGATGGGCTTAAAAACATTGTCATTGATTGTGTCACACCTTCAAATTAAATTCCTGACCAATCAACGACTCATTATCGTTTTTATTTTAAAACTACTGCTAAAAAAGATTTTTTTTGGGAATTATCTAATAACTTGAGACTTACTGAGAAGCGACGTAGTATATTAGATAATGATGCTTAAGTGCATACTCATTATTTATTCTAATATTATATCATATGTCGAGTTACAGAAATAAAAGTCTTATCAAAGATGTCCTTATTAGTATTTATGTCAAATAAGTTGCAAAACTTTGAATAGCTCCTAACAAATCAGAGACGCAATTAATTACTTCAATTCATTGCAAAATAACTGTGGATATTTTAATTGTTGATTATTGAACAACCAATGACTCAATTGTATTATATATCAGCTTAGTGTATTTCAACATACATAGCATCAATCAATTATTGCAAAATTGTGGTGTGATATATGTAATGTAATTTAACATAATGCAATCTAATAAATAATACAAGCCATAATTTCTATTGTGAACAGGTGTTGGAATTGCAAGTAATGACATACTTATGGCATTGCAGTTTGCGGCTGAATCAGCAGAAGAAGCAATTGAAGAAGCTGCTGCAGAGGCAAGTGGAGAAGGGTTTCTTGTTACTGAAAGCATGGATGTCATTCCAGAAGGAAGTGCAGAAGATGGAATAGTAGTTGAAGGTAGCGGGTTAGAAAAACTAGATTTTGAAATTGGGAAGATATCAACTGAGGGTAGTGGAGATGATCTTTTTATTGAAGGAAGTGGAAATGAAGATACAAGTGGAGATGGAAATATTGGTGTCCTTGAGGAAAAAGTAGAGACAAATGAAATAGGTGTACCTTTAGAGGAAGAAGTTGTTGAAGTAGTAACACCTGTATTGATTGTTGAAGATGGGTTAGACATCACTGAGGTAGATGATCCAGCAGCAGCAGAAGTTGTAAATGAGCAAGCAGAGGCTAATATATTTGAAGAAGAGTCAACTGCAGAGGTAGAAGTTGCTGAAGTAGATGTCCCAGTAGAAACAGGAATCATGGAGGAGCAACCAGAGGTTGAAGTAGCTGAAGAAGGACCAACCGCAGAAGTAGAAGTTGCTGAAGTAGATGTCCCAGTGGAGACAAAAATCATGGAGGAGCAAGCAGACGATGTAGTAGCCGAAGAAGGCTCAACTGCAGAGGTAGAAGTTATTGACATAGAAGTGCCAGTGGAAAAAGACATTTTGAAGGAGACTGGTGAGATAAACGTAGATGATGAAGTGATAGATGCACCAGTGGACGCAGAAGTCATGGAGGTGCAAGAAGAAGGTGAAGTAGCAGAAGAAGGATCAACTGCAGAGATAGACATTGCTGAGGTCAAAGATGAAGTGAATATAGAAGTTGTGCAAGAGCAAGCTGAGTCTGAATTAGCTAAAGGAGGATCAATTTCAGAGGTAGAAGGTGTTGAGGTGCCAGAAAATACAGAAGCAGTGGAGGAGCAAACAGATGCTGAATTGGAAGTTCCAACTGCAGAGGGAGAAGTAGCTGAAGTAAATGTACCAGTGGAGACAGAAGTTGTGGAGGAGCATGCAGAGACTGAAGTTGCTGAAGACGGAGCAGCAACTGAGGTAGAAGGTTCACCAGTAGAGGCAGAAATTGCTGCAGAAGAATCACATGCAGAGACAGAGTGGCCACAGAAAGACCACCTGTAGAGATAAAAGTAGCCGAAGAACAAACACATACAGATGAAAATTCTGCAATGGTAGATGTAGCTAAATTAAAGGTACCAACAGAGTCTGAAGTGCTACTGGGACAAAGGTTGAAGAAGAGCAAGTAGAGGCAGAGGCCACTGAAGAAAATGTACCTACAGAAACAGAAATAGCTGAAGTACAACCACCTACAGAAGTGGTAGAAGAGCAATCAGAGGTGTCCACAGAAGAAGCAGTCGCAGAGGTAGAAGTACCTGAAAAAGTAGCTTCTGTGGAGACACATGATGAAGAAGTCCCTGGAGAGACAGATGTGGTGGGCGATGAAGCATATATTGAGGGAGCTGGAGAAGGAACACCTATGGAGGAAGACACAACAGAAGAAGAAGTAGAGGTGGCTGCAGAAGGAGTGCCTACAGAGATAGAAGTAACCAATGAAGGAGCAGAGGAAGATGTAGCTGAAGAAGTGGTACCCACAGTCAAAGAATTGGCGGAAGATCAAGCAGGGGTAGAAGTTGCTGCAGAAGGGGCACCTGCAGAGGAAGACGTTGCTGGAAACAATGCAGCTGCAGAGGTTGAAGTAGCTGAAGGAGAAGAGGCAGACGTGGCTGAAGGAACAGCACCTGCAGAGACAGAATTAGTAGAAGATCTATCAGAAATAGAAGTGACTACCGGAGGAGTACCTGCAGATGAAGAAGTAGTTGCACCCACAGAGACAGAATTGGTAGAAGAGCAAGCAGAAGTAGAAGTGACTGCAGAAGGAGCACCTGCAGATGAAGAAAAGGCTGAAGTAGGAGCACCTGTGGAGGAAGAAGTTACTGAAGAACTAGCACCTATAGAAGTAGAATTAGCAGAAGACATAGTACCAGCAGAGACAGAATCAATAGAAGAACAAGCTGAGGTAGAAGTGACTGCAGAAGGAGCACT